TTGGTGCGGTCTCGGTGTAGGGTGGTGGCGCGTCGAGCGTGGTGGGGTCGTCGCGGAGAGGGAGGGGAGGGGGTACACGGCCTCGGGGTGGAGGTGGTTGCTCTTCTCCTGGTTGGGGGGTTCGGTTGCTGGGGCAGTAGGTGGTGGGGAAGGGGTTTTGATCAGCTTTATGGCCCATACTCAGGCGATATGTGCTGCCAGAGCACGGAGATGGGGTAGAGAGAGCGGGATGCGGTGTTTTCTTTTTTTGAGTGGTGAGGTCCGAGTAGCATTGGTAAAATTTGGACTTCGGCGTAGCACGTGGGTTGTAACACTCTTGAAAAAAGAGTTACACATATTTGAGCACGCAGGGATGATGATTGACTAATCAACTGATTGAATTCGTATGACATTCGCAGCATGGTATCTAGCTAAACCACAGCCGCTGCTAAGCCCACAATATCCCCTTTTCCACGACTGATCCTCGCTCTCCAGGATGCATGCCTCCTCTGATTAAGATACATCCATCGGAACTCTCCTGTTTTTTTTGGTTACTCGCCAAGTATCCTATCCCAAGCCTCTCCTTGCAAGAAATTTGAAAACCGGATGCTATGACCTGCAAAATGCACGATAGAGCTAGGTAGTGTGACAGCGTAAGGTAGTGGTGTGACCGGCCACGCGTAGGTGAAAAGATGCTCGCTTGCTCAAGGGCACCAAAGGAAAATGTCAACAGGATGGCGAACTGCTGGCTCGGCCGGTACATTAGACACGTAGAACCTCCCCTTCGTTAATGGACCGTATGCGAAAGACATGGCGTGAGACCTTCGAAGGTCTCGGTAGTAATTACAGCGGCCGAGGATAGACCGTTGGTTGTGGAGAAGATCACTGATATTTCTCCGTTGGATTTTGAAAAATTAGTTACACAAGAAAGCGCGGTTGGCAGCAATAGTCCAAAACCTCGAGTATTGGTGTAAATATAGACAGTAGAAGTGAAGTCGACGTTTTGGGTGACCAGGTTCAAGGTGGTGTTGTGTCTTCCCTAAATCTGGACCCTCGTGAGCCATCTTGACTAGGATGACTTCGCCCGAGGCCATCCCTGACCCGAGGGAATTCAGCTATTGGTCCGGGTGGACCTCGCGGGCGTGGTGAGGGCTGTTGCGGAGGGCGAACTGGGACCTGGCCTGGCTGATTGATGACTGGTGTACGTGCGGGACCAGGCCGCATATTTGCTACCTCATCTCGTTGCGGCGGGCTCCCAGTGGCAGCTGCTAAAGGCGCGATAGTGGTAGGTGAGGATGAAAGAGGAGAGCTGGAGGACTCGGTCTTCTCAGTGTCCGGCACGACACCGCCATAGAAGCCCTGGGAATCGCGGTAAAAGGACGACCCTGACAGAGAACGGGACGGAGAAGGTTGAGAAGGCCTTAACCCAGGAGTGAGGCCGGCAAAGGGTCCTTGACCTGGTGCCACGCCTGGGCTTCGTTGAGTGGAAGGAGGTCCAGTTGAACCAGTAGAGGGACCGGCAGTGTTATCACCATAGCCGTCGCCACCAGCTGCTAGAACTGATGGGAGCTTTCTCCCAGAGATCTTCTGGAAGCCACGCTCGCTAGGTGCTGTATCTGTTGTGGCTGCGGTCCGAGCTGTTTGAGACGAAAGGGGTCTCATACGTCCAAGGATGCCACCGACGATAGGTGCAGTACTTGATCGTTGAGTCATAGTACCACTACCACTTTGTGGCCCGCTTCCCTGGCCAACTGTTTGAGGGAGTGGGGGCGAGATGATCCTTCGCTGGCCGGATTTGTTTCTTCGCCTGCGGAAGAAGAGGAGAATGAGCATGAGTACCAATGCCAAGCCGGCAACTCCACCAACGATCCCTCCAACAAGCACTGGCGTCGGGGGTGCGTTGTCGTTTCCTGAACCACTCCGTGAGCTGGAAGTCGGTGTAGCAGCAGTGCTAGTACTCGAGCCACCTATGCCAGCGGCCCCAGCACCACTATTAGATGCCGCAGTAGCAGCAGACGCCGAGGACTGGCTTGCGAGTGACGATGATGCGGATGCATTGAGGGTTGTAGGTGTGGCGGCTATTCCAGAACTAAGAGACTGGCCGCTTCGTGTAGATGTCATAAAGCCGCTGAGAGTGGAAGCTGGTGCGGCCGTAGAAGAGATACTAGCCATGGACGCCTGCGATGCCGTAGACTCTGCAAAAAGAAATGCTATGGCACTCGATTGCGAGCCGAGGCTACTCAGACTTGATGATACGGCAGCACTTGAACTCATTGAGGTAGCTGTTGGTTTTATTAGCTGGAGCCCAAGACAAAGCGCCTGATAACATGACTAACCTGACATGGTGGAGTTACTAGCCGGACTAAGTGTGTTTGCTAATGGATTCGGGGTGGGAGAAGGGCTCGGAGTAGATGAGAAGTAGGATGAGGAGCCCGTAGAGGATTGGGGAGTCGACGGTAAGGGCGTTGAGGGCGATGAGAGAACTTGCTGGGAACTAGGCTCAGGGATGTTCATGGGACTTTGGCTCGCTGCAGCAACATGTCCTTCTGGTGTAGCGCTTGGAGCTGCGGACTGAGGTACAGAGTAAAGCTCATTTGCTATAGCTTCTTGTGTTTGAAGTGCGGCAGTTCTTGCTGACGATGCTTGAATAGCTGCCGGGGGGACGACCGAGCCAGGAACAAAGTTGTTGACATTGGGAGTGTTGGCGGAATTTGACGTATGGGCCGGAGGAGTGGAGGTATCGGTGACATTGACCTCACCCACCCCAGGCACGTTAACGGTCCCAGCTGCTGACATTGGCTCGACTACATGCGAGACAATGTTTTTGCCATCGCTGACGTCGACAGCCACCATAGTGGTAACCGGCTTAGCCGTTGGTTGAACTCCATTGTAGACTGGTGCTGAGACGAGCTGCCGGCGCCGGAGTTCTGTGGGTTGTTTTTCTAAGGCTTCTGATGAATCGTGAAGGCTCTGAACTTCTTGACGAGAAGGTTTTAGAACATCAAAAGCTTGGTCTTCGTAGGGTGGGAGCACGATCTTGGGTAAGTTTGGCATCTCTTTCTTGCTTGACTGACCCAAACTCCTTGCTCGCTGTCTGCCCTGTTGAAAGCCATAGCGTCCGGCTAGGTCATCGAACTGCTCGACATCTAGCTCAACTTTCCGCCTCTTAAATGGATGATACATTGGACCCTTGGTCCGAGGTCCACGAGTGGTGTAGCTATACGGGGAAAATGAATGTGTGTCAGCAGTTTATGTGCTGTCTGTGGTGATTAAAATTCTGATGTATAAATTGGTTGAACTGAATAAGCATTGGTGCCTGGTCGATTGCGCTGAAAGAGAAAGGGATAGGGATCTCGCTGTGACGTTCGCCGGAACGGGCGTGATGCCCTGTGTATGAATGACTGTGGTGTTCCTGGTGGATGGATACAACGTCTTTGTGCGGACGTGGTCGCTCTTTGCGATCGAAGATCAGCTTCGACAGCGTTGTAGTATTGTGTATGCGTCTTGTAATGAGTGGCTGCCAGTCATAGACTGACGGGATTAAGACTGATTGAGCTGTTCAGAGTCAGTCCTACCCACATTCTTGGGCATCTCGGAGACCCACCTGTGTTCTAAATTCGCATTATTGATGTGTTTTCTCCTCCCAAAGCTGCTGAGGGTCACTATCGAGTGTGTATGGGGCGTGATTGTATGTTGGTGGTTGTCGTGTGGATTGTTGTTCGAGGAGCGTTCCACCTCCCCTTGGATTGCGACCAGTAGATTATGCACCTCTAGACTTCTTGCAGAGCTGCGCCCCTTCCTTGCTCAGTTGACACCTCACAGCTCTTACAACCACGACACCGCCGACTGCTCGGGCGTGCCTGGGACTTCACGATTTGGCGCAAGCTTGGGGTTGGAAGAAGGAACAAAAGAAAAGGGCAGAGGATCTGGGCTGGTTCATTATTGGTCGGCTCAACGAGTAACTCGTATGGGGACAAGCGTGGGTTTTTAGTGTGGCCGCGGGTCCTCTATCCTTGTCTAGTGAAATTACGAGGGACCAAAGATAGGACCTTAAATGAAAGGCGGAGATGAGATTTACAACAATAACAGCTGAAAGCTGAGCGCTTGAATGCTCAGCAGCCTGTGGGATGTCGCCATGGCGATGGCGAAAAGCTCTTCTACGGACGCTGTTCCTATTCACCACCTTGAAAGCCGTGAGGCACAACGGATGTACGGAGGAAAGAGCATCATTGGCAATACGAAACAGCAAATGACCCACACTCGTAACGAAACCTCTCGAAAATCTCCACCTGTGCCACACCCTCATCAACCTGTAACCAATCTCCTGGTTCTCCCTTGTAGATATCAGCCGAGCCGCTCACTTGTGGGGAAGGTTGTTGGTTCTTTCTCTACGGAATCTCGGTACGAGCTACTACTACTATGAAATTTGAGCTCTGAAAGATTGTTGTTGTTACCTACATTATTGTTCAACTACGTCAAGCTTGCTTACCTAGTTCATTTGCTAAGAGGCTTGCCTATCGAGCTGTCCATTGAAGTGAATAGTGAAGTAAGGTGACAGCCACGCTCCTTATCCCCAAACGCATAGCCTATTATACTCAAAAAAAACGTGCAATTTACCTATACTTCACTACTGGGTGCTTATCCGATTACAACAGCAAAAGATCCGGCAATAATCCGATGAATAAGTGAATACTCATCCTAAATTTCCTAGAGACTTTTACTGCCATAAATCATCATGTGGGCGAAGACTCGGAAAGATCCATCAACTCTGTCAGTGATAAAGGGGGGGTGCTCAAAGAGATAACTGTATCCACGATCTTATGTGTCCCATCGCCACTCGCGTCTACTGCTTACTCTCTCTCTCTCTCTCCGCATCCAACCCACTGGTATATGACCTGTTAGCGCTCCTCTAGTCATTGGTACTAAAGAGATCTGCCGCTGTTGTCCTTGAGTATGTACATCCCATGTCCCAACAGCAGGAAGGGTCAAAACCCAACCGAACCCAAAAAAAAAATAGATATTGCTCAAACTCAGATTCGAACTGAGGTCTTCAGGACTTATCACCCAGACGGATGTCCAGCAAACCAGAACGGTAGCATTGAACACCCACAGGCGTTACCTGGCCCGGACAGTTTGGATACCTGACGTGCTGACCACTACACCGTCTGAGTTGCCTGAGTCTGTTTTCCTGAATGGGTGGTTCTTGTAAGACTACTCGTAATTGGCGCAGGGCCATCATGCCTCTATTGGAGCTCTGGAACGTACTGGGCGCAGTATCAATAATGGCATTCTACATTAGAGTCAACGGCTTTAACTGCATTAATTGTTAGCTGCATCAAATTGAAGCGATATCAGAACTCGTATTTCCCGTATATGCAATGCCAATGACAGGGAAAACCCCCTTCCGGCGTATCATCTAATCTCTTATACAGCTTTGACCGTTCCAATTTTCGGCTATAAAATCAATTGGAGCGGATTCGTAGCAAGCTTGGCTCACAGATGCGATATGCGATACGTGCAATCACGAAATCACACTTCTTTACAGGCATCTCTGGAAAGAAATGGAGAAAGAAGCTTAATTACGAGGACGTCCATTTTCTGAAAGGGGTCTCAAGAGAACGCTTCTGTTTGCAGGGCAAGCTGTCAGGAAGATTGATGTGGTTAGTACAGCGTGTAAACACGGGTTTCAAGCCAACCAAGTTGATCAACGTCGAGCAAGTGCAGATCTTCAACGAAGCTTGTTAGATAGCAGTCTAAGGTTTAGGAACGTTGGGGTTCGGCACCACTATGACTGCCATTTAGTTTGCTAGTCTCGGGGAGCGTCACAAGTTGCACGAAGTGACCTCTTTAATAGTAGTTTCTCATTACTATCGTACACATTGATACACTGGCGTCCACATAATCATGTAGACAAAGCGGCTTCAAGACCAAGAAAAAAGGCTTCTGGCTAATCACTTCTTCCCGAGCTTGACTTTGCAGTCGGGACAATACCATTTCTGCCTCCTTGGCGGAGACTCCTTCAAACCTACACAATCGAAGTGGAACCACTCTCGCTCGCACTGGAGTGGAATGTCAGCGTAGATAACAACGAAGCATCAGAAGGAGTTCCGCTTACATTATCGTTCTCGCACGCAATCATGTCTCCAAAACTCACGTCTCCGCAAAGACAATACCTAGGCTCATCGGGATCAATTTCCTCACCCGCCATTGCCTCATCTATTTTAGTCGCGTTCTCTTTGTCTTTAGCACTTGCATTGTCGGCTACCCTCTTCTTCTTCGGAGCATGCTGTCGTTTGCCTACACTCACTGCAGGACCATCTTCGTGACTTTCAATCATGGCACCTGGCGCAGGGCGCTTGCTTCGCCTTCCAGCTGCTGTGACGACTGCGACCGGACTTGGCAGCGGAGCAGGGGTATTGCTCTTGCGACGAGGGTGCTCACGAGTATTTGTTGCTGGTGTTGGGTCAACAGAACCTCGGCGAGTAGCTGTCCGGGTAGCTGTACGTGGTGATGCCAGGACTGGCTCCGGCGGCGGCTCCGCAGGACCTTTCAAAGTTAAAGAGACACGCCGAGGACGAGAAGAGGTTGCGGTAGAGGTTGTGGCCGCAATGGTTTTGGGAGTGACCGCTTTAGGTTTTTCAGGAGCTGCCATGACCGGGGTTGCCGGTGCAGGCGTGGACTTTCGTACAGGTTTTGAGGGTGATGGAGCAGGGGGAGCAAGAGGTATTGTGGACGTCACCGTTTCGGTTGTGACATTCAGCGGCGCAGGTCGAGCGTGTTCTCTCTTTTGCTTTTTCGAGGAAGGTTTGGTTGGTGAAGGAGCAGGTTCAACCTGTTTAAGAGGCAGCTCTGATTTAGGTGTCTCGTCTCGCTTCCTTTTCTTCGCGGAAGACTTCGTGGGGTCTTTTGGCTTCGCAATCTTATCCTTGGGAGTATCTTTACTCTTAGGCAGACTGGCACTGACAAGGGGGCTTTGTATTGCTGGTCCGGGCGGCTTGGAGAACAGCTCCTTAAATGTGCTTCCAAGACTACCCAACTTCTGGGCTTCCGATTCCAACTCCGCAGCTCGTTCGCGTGCTAATATCTCCCTCTTCTGCTTCTTAGCCTCATTCAGCTTCATTCCCCTGTTCTCAAGTGCCGTCTCTCCCAATCCCAACTTCTCAGAGCTTATCTCGCCTGGTAACAGTGGTCTTCCTGGTTCTCTATGGGCGATATCATCCTCGTCAAGGAAGTCTTCCCCAGTCTCCTCCGCAAGTCTCATTGCCTTTTGGTAATAATCAGGTCCTCGTTTCGCATCGGTCAATTCACGTCTGATCATTGTCTCGCTAGGTGTCCAAATGGCATTCTTCTTCATCCTCTTCCGTAACTTCGCCATCTCCCACTCGGTGAGGCGCATCCAGGGCGCATGCTTGCTACCTGGCTTAGGATCTGGTGGTGGTGGAGTCAGTAGTGACAGTGCATTACTTGTCGATATCCCAGCGACGGAGCTGTGCACATTCGTTCCCACGGCGCCAGGCGGCCGAGGCGCTCGAGGGACCTTGGGAATCTTCAGCTTCGGTACCTTTGGAGGCTTCGGAGGCCTTATCCGGGCTGGCTTGCGCGACCCTCCAACACGAGATGTAGGCATTGGAATGGGTGATGGCGGTACTGATTCCCAATCCGAATCTGTGAATGGAAGTGGAGAATCCGGGTTTGGTGGTGGAAGTACTTCACCAGGCACTGTGATTTTGCGGCTTCGATACCGCTTTTCAGGTTTGGCTGAAAATCTCCCTGCAGACGCTGCAGCCCTTGCGCCATCAAGCCGTAGAGTAATTCGCGGAGGAGGCGTTTTGCGAGCTGCTTGGGGAGACCTTGGTACTGGAGTGGGGTCTCTCGAGGGCGGTTTTGGCAAAGCACGTAGTTTGGTTATGATACTGGTCAAACGGTTGTAGTGACGATCCACCATCTCGAACAGGCGTGTTGCCTCGCCATGGGCAGATTCGCGACAGCTTATTGCGTAGTCCAGGTTGTGAGATATGTCGTGTCGCAGAGCTTGGGCGCTTTGCCTCTTATTGGGTGGTAAGGATGGTAGCGACCCATATTCCTTCGAGAGATCATGTACGGCGCCAGCTGCTGCAAGGTAGGACTCATCGAGGTTGCCGATGAGAGTGAGGGATCGTACGAGGTCGGAGGGGAGGTATTCGGTGTAATCGAGGAAATCGGTGACGGTGTGTTGAGCGTCTGGATCCTCAGGTGGATCTCTTGTCATTACATCCATGGCTGAAGCCATGACTGAAGCCATGTTGGCAAATTGTTGGATTGGCCTTGCGTCTGATATCGCGGAGGAAGTTGGTGTTAGAGGTAGACGTGAAGGTGCCTCTTAAGCACGAACTGTCGTAGCCCTAACCCTAGTCTGGACAAGAACGATCGTTAACCACCGCATTCATGATCACCAGCAGTCAAGTTGCAATCATTCAGTAAAGCTGTAGTAGAAAGGCTCTTGAGAAATGAAATGCCGGTTGCCAGGATATCTTTGTGCCAAGGCTTCAGTATCGGCTTCACTGATTGCTCTGCAATCTTTGTCAAACCTCAAGAATTCGTAGACATCCAAACTTCAGACTGAGTCACTCAAGGCCTTCCTACTCACAGCTCTACCTTCGCCTTCTCAAACACCCAGCAAATTACATTTACAGTCAAATGTAGTCAATTCATTGGACATCTTCCGAAGTAATCGTCCACTGATTCCAGGGTTCCTTCCCTGTGACCATTTTCATTATCCTCACTTCGCGCCGCGAATCTTCATCACTTCATCGTCCATTGCCCACAACTCTACTGCCTCAGAGCGTCTTTAGTACATCCGTTCTTCTCTTTTTGAATCCTTCACTTCATCATCATTAAACATGGCAGACATGAAAGTCGGTCAGCTTGCTGGCGAGGAGGACAGATTCTGTCCATTCGCAGCTGTTAACAAATGGCCATACAAACATTTGTATGGGAAGGAGTCTGAGGAAGTCTCCAAGAAGTACTTCGCCTACGGAGAGTTCAGAAACCGAGGGTGGACTGTGTAAGTTGCGTTCTACCTTACTTACCGCTGTGCTTGCTCGCACTATTTCGCTTCCCGTGAAGATCAGGTCCGGTCAAGTAGATTCATTCGGTTATTCATGTGTACAGTGACTGGACACTACATCGTCTCCGTTCCTTCAATAGTTTTGATCAACACCATCCAGCTGACACTTCTAGCTACTACATTCGCACGCTATTAGATACTTCTCCTAAACCGCTCCTACTGACACCAAAGTCTGAAGTGCATGCTTTATTCGTCGAGATTTTCGAAACCCTAGGTGTCCACGCCGACTTCCCAGACGTTTGGAGCCACCCAGGATTTGACATTGGGTTCCAAGAAGAGGGGAAGCCCCCGGCCGCGCTACCTTGGCCGTTTGACCAACAATTGCAGTCTGGACGAACTCGAAGAGATGATTCCTGAAGAAGGCTCCGCGTTGGAAGAGCCGCAAAACGTGGAAGACTGGTCATTCCCAGCTTTTCGCCGCAAGATGGAGGCAGCTATTTTGGCAGGGAAGGCCAAGAACAGAGCGGCAAACGAGAAAAAGAGAAGAGATCGAGTAAGTACACTTTATGGGGGCCTCACCGCCCAATTCGTCCATCGTGCTCCTAGAGAGCCTTTTGTACCCTATCTTCTGCTCCCGAAATCCTATCTTGGCTCAAAATCAATCCTTCAAAGGGCAATGCTGACTCCGAACTCTGCAGGTGATCATAAAACGAGGATGGTGTGCACATTTGAAGAGGACACAATGCTATCTCGGCATCCGTCCTCGCGGAACAGCGAAAAAAGAAGAATTTCATGCGGATCACAACCACACCTGGGAGCAATCCCAAGCAGCTCAGGCCGCATACGAGCAAGCAGCAGGGATTAGACTCCCGAAACTTATACTAACAAGTGCTGCCCCTTACTCTTTTCACCAGAATGTAGTTTTCGTCTGTGTGGATATCGAGGCCTACGAAATGGACCAAACGAAGATCACCGAAATCGGTATTTCGACGCTGGATACACTAGATCTCATCAACGTTCCCCCAGGCGAAGGTGGAGCTGAGTGGATGAAGAAGATTCGGTACGTACAAGGCGGGGTCTTTCTTTTCGAATCCAAAACATTATAGGAGTCCTGAAACATGTTGC